TCGGTGGCACAATGCTGTCGGCCTATTCTCAAACTTTAAATAGTAATAATAATAAAAGTAAATAACAATAATATATATATATATATATATATATACAATAATATATATATATAAAATAATATATATATAATATATATATATATATATAATAATACAATAATATAATAATCTAATATATATTTATATATATATTAGTGTATATAGATACACTGTGAAGCGCTTAGCCATGATACGGGTTGTGTACAGTTCTGTATGACATGATTGTTCACACAAGAGAGCTTCCTATGACACCACGTAGATGTACGGCGCGATTGTAGTGTACACGTGTCGTGTACCTAGCAGTTGTACGACTTGAATTAAAAATTTGGGGCAGATGACATTTGATAGGGGGAGCAACAAGCACGGGATGTTCAACACCTTGCATATGCATATGTGTTGGGTCATGTGGATGGGAAAGTCGGATGAACACTTTCAGCTTGTTAGCGACAGGGATTCCGTTTCAAAGAAACTGAGTGTATGTTTGGCTACGATCGAGGATGATACCATTGATAGCACTGCCCCATACAGCTCCAAGCCAACACGATTGAGATATACCTTCTCAGAATAAATCGTGCGAACACACGTACACAAGACATTAAGGTCCATCAATGGCACATCCCCCTCTCTTCCCCCGTACTGCTAAAAGTCAATCAGACAGAGATGCACATCCTCATTTCAAAATATAAACATGCAAATACACGTGTATGTATATCAGATGCAAATACCACTCCCGCTCGACATACTCCTCATCACAGGCGTTTTCGCTGGCGAGTGCCGGGGGTTCCGCTTCCAAAGGGCTGGGGAGGTACCTGGCCGCGGCATCCAGGACCAACTGTACACCCATGTTCTTCAGAGCTGACCCGCATAGGACGGGTGTGCCCGTGTGCGATATGGTGGCCGTCCGCAGGGCCTGATGTATCCGCTCTGTAGTCATATATAATACACAAGTATATATGTATATGTATATATCATGCAATATGTCATTTGTATTGTAAAGAAAAATGTAGAGATATGCTCAGATGGCATTATCTAGACAAATGAGACGTGTGGCAGTGGAATGTGAGCGCTTGGAATGGCGAAGTACATGGAATGAAAAGGAGTCAGTGCATAAAGTTATATTCTCGCACCGCGCAAGCAACCACACAAGCTATGTCCATTAAAGTATAACAAAACCTTTCTGTGGTAGAACTTAATGACGGCGTAAGAAGGTGTGAATCGTAGTCTCATGAACTATTCTATGAGCTAAGAACGGATGGCCAAGGAAAAGCTCGCAAAGAAATACGCACGCCTTGCAATGAATAATCTAAACCCGTGGTATTCCCAAAAATTAAGCGTACTGAGCTAAACGTATGATGTAAACGAAAGTGATGAAATGTATTGGCAATTAAATGCAGTATTCAACAACACGTCAATTTCCTTGATCCTTGACGGGCGTCACTTTTATATATGTATATATAAATAGTATTTTTACATGTTACTGATATATATATATGTACA